ACGAAAATCCTAAAAGACATTGTGCATTTGTACTTGAAAAGGAATATTAATAAATCCTACCAAATTACCTTTACCCTTCGTCGTAAACCTATGATTTCCTGTCCTATAGTTTCCTTTAACAATACTTCACTTATCTCTGTTGAAAAAATCCGTTACCTAGGACCCCATCTGGACAAACGTCATGGAAACTTTATAACTAGACTGAAACGACAAGAAATCGCTTGACATTTCTGACTACTTCATCATTTACTAGAAAAACTCTCTAAACATCCAATTAATTGCAAAACACTAATAGACATGACTATAATAAGGCCTATTTCGATCTACACAGTTCATCTATGGGACTAGACCATCGAATTTCTGTCGTAACCGATCCTTTCAATCCAAAACCCTTCGTAAAATCCACAATGCTCCCTACTTTGTTACAAATAAAATCATCCATAATGACCTCAATGTTCCTTATGTTTTAGATTCCCAATCCAGATATCTATCCTTCCATAGTAAACTTCAGAAACATTCCAACCCACTTGTTTCTAACCTTCTAAATCTAACCTCTTAAATTCCTGATAACGCTCCTAGGTGTCTGAGAAAGATGGCCCCGTGATCTCCTAATGTAGACATATCAAAGTGCTACCAGTGGATAGTTTCGAGACAAGAGTTTGCATTTACTATAAAATAAAAATTTACTATATTTATTTATTTAACACAGTTGTAAATATCATTAATAAAAAAAAAAAGGAATATCCAAATAATTTTAAAGATATTTCTCGGATTCTAAACTGTTAATGATTGAGTAGTAGTGAAAATTCGTTGGGAGTTGTGTTAGGAATGAAGAATATACATACAATATGTCTTCATTTTTTCATTTTCATTTGTTATTCTTGAATATTCCGTTTGATGATGGAGCACCAGTATGCTTCCTGCCTCTGCCTCAAGCAGCCGCATGACGGCTAAGTTGTGCGAGTAGGGTATCTCATCGTAGTAAGGCGCAATTCAACTATTGAAGAGAACTGGCAGAAATACATCAAATAAAACCGCTCATCTGGTGCTCCAACGGCACAACTGTAAAATTTTTCAATTTTTTCAGAAACGTGTAGTTAATCGAATTGACGCCTAATTACAAAATTGCCAAACAACATGGTGCAATACTATTATGTAACATAGTATTTTATCTATTGACCACACCCCCTACTAACTTCTAAAATTAAAATCTACGGTTAACCATCTCAACACTATTATAAAAAAGTATGTGATTATTGTTCCACCTGATGGGCGATATTAGTTTCACATTCTACGGAGCGAATGTAAGTATTGTATATAGATGTGAATGTGTTTTATTTATTTTAATTTAGTTTAGTTTCTATTATTTTATTTTTTGTACGTATGTATATTAATTTTGTTATTTTATTTTCTGTATTTCTTTTTCTTTATTAATCTATATTTTAATAATTATTTGTATGTACAGATTGTACGAATGATTAATTTAGCCTTTCAATGTGGCAAAATGTATTAATACCGATTAATAAAACAAAACAAAAATTATACGGGTGGAGCTTATCTTATAGGCTCCTTATTCTTCAATCGAGCCCCATAGTTTGTCCCTGCGCTTTTTGCATTGTGACTTCATGTGAGATTTACGTGAACCTTTTCAAGCGCATTTGTCTAAAGTTTACTAGATTGAAGAAGCAGAATGGCTTAGAAGTCACTCTTGTTTCCTGGCCTTGGGTTCGAGTCTCACCCGAGGCAGGTGATTATTTACCCTGTTGCACTGTCCATGGATGGAACTTGAGATCGGAAAATAATTAATTAAGGGAGTAACCTGGAAGTTGAGCGTGATCTCAATCAACTCCTCGTTCAACCGTTGATCAATAAACTGAACTTCCTTATGAAGCACAGAGCCCAAGACCCTTCGTGGGTTGAATTGGTATTGGGTTTTGATTAATTGACATTCATTAACATGATGATCATGCTCTGTTGATGTTGATCCTACCCTAATCTTATAAAGTCTATAGAATTCCTCAGTTAATGATCTATCAAGAAGTATTTTTTTTAAATAGAACTGTTAGTCTGGAAACCATGGTTATGTTGCAATTTAAGGTTGTCTTAGTTATTTTCTAGCTTACGTGGTAACAATCTAAAAATAAAAAAAAATAAAAGTGTACCTTATATAAAGAAATATATAGCCTTCCTCATTTAATAGTCTATCAAGAAGTATTTTTTAAATAGAACTGTTAGTTTGGAAACCGTAATGATTTTCCAGATTAGGTGGTTACAATCTAAAAATAAAAAAAACTGGTGCGCGCAGCACACAACTTTCATATACCGATCAACTTTGAATAGAAATTATTTTCTAGCCATGTTGGACTATTATACAATTTTTTATTGCATTTTTCACCGAGCTTAACCATGCATTTTTCCTTTTTTCTCTTTTATTCAATTATCAAATTCTTTCAAAAGTTATATTTAGCATTTTTTCATAACTCCTAACAATCAGAAATATTTATTATATTATTATTTATAATAAACCAAATTGAAATTAGGATCAGGAGACTGAAATTCCACGGACATATGGTAAGAATGGCCCCAGAAAGACTTAACAAGGAAATATTCCAAAAAATCCGTAGATACAAAAGCTTGGGAGGATACATCAGGCAGATGAAGGAAGAAACGGAAAGACTTGGAATAACGGACCGGGACTGTCTGGACAGAGAGGGGTATGGTAAGAGACTAAAGGAGATCACGGTTCTTGCTAAGAAGAAAAGTTCGAGAAAGGGAGTCGCATGGACGGAAGAGAGAAAGCAGCGGCACTCGGAGATAATGAGAGAGAAGTGGAAAGAAAGGAAAAACAAGAAAGAAGCCAAATGTCATGATATTCGCGTGGTCTCTATGGCCGTTCCGTGAAAAAAAAAACAAAAAAAAAAACAAATTGAAAGTACTTTAGAGGAAAACACGATAATTTTGGGATTTCACAAAGAGAAAATTCATCAAAATTATTCACCAATTTAATTTTCTATTATAAGTTATACGACAATATTTCGGAATAAACGGACGTTGATACCTAATTATTTAAATATGATATCAGATCTAGAATTATTAAACTACAGTAAATGTATTTAAGATTATAAACATATGCTTTATACATCCATGAAATGATTTTATATTTTACTTCTTCTTTCACACAAGTACAATGAAATAGTTTTTTTAACAATGTCATTGCCTTGATTAGGTGGATTTTAAATATTTTTTTCAAACTTAAAAATATTTTAAAAGTTTACATTTAGGTAGTAAATTTCATTTAATTTCCTTGAAAACATTTGATTTACGTTAAATATTGTTAGTTTTCAAAAATTATTAATTGTAATTTTTATGTCACTCTCCGTTACATTCTACAAGTTTCCATATTATATATTGATTTTTCTAAAATTATCCGCTTTCCGACGATATATTATACATATACCTTCTGACCAGTATTTCCGGAGATTCATTTTCGACCTGGATAAGCATTTTTATTTTTTCTCTTTTATTCAATTATCAAATTCTTTCAAAAGTTATATTTAGCATTTTTTCGTAACTCTAAATAATGTGAAATGATTAAAAGTACTTTAGAGGAAGACGTATATGAATATTAGGCATTTAAGCCATGTAAAGTGACATCAATGGGGATAAGACCTTATTGATATTAAATACCACTTAATTGTAAAGTGATAAACCGAGTTTAATCCAAATCGTTACAGCCGTTTTTGAGAAAAATTGTAAAAATGTGTTTCAGCGTTGATATAAATTGGCACTTCCGGTTAGCCGATTTTAACGAAAAAGTTGATGTCGCATTTTAGGCATATACCTATCTTAAATACCAGTAAAATCAGTTTGGTACGACTTTTTGCTAACACACACACACACACACACACACAGACCATTTTGCGGGACTTGATTATTTGGATTCAGGAGACCTCAAAACATGTATTTCCGTTGAAAACTCAAATTCGAAAATTTTCACGATCGCAGTACTTACCCTTACTATATATTTTATATATAGGTAAGTGAAAGTAAAAATATAACTGCATAATATGATAGAAAAAATAGATAAAAAATGTTCGATCTATTAATGACAAATAATTTTAGATCTTACATATTAAGATTTTAGATAAAAAATTTGCATGGAAAATGGTATTCAGCTGCTGGTGGTAATTATATTTTACCTAGGTGACAGCAGCTATTTTTCAATCTAGACATTTTCTCTTTGAACACAATATATTAATTATTATATTACATATCTAATAATATTTACATTATATTGTGATGTAATTTGGATTATTATGAAATAGAAAAATAAGCACGACATAACCTACAATGAAAATAAAAGGCTTAAATTGACGTTGGGCTAATATGAAGCTGGACAAGTTAAGAATATATATTATGGTTACAAATTGGCATTCAGAATAATTAGAATTATTTAATCCTATAAGTTGGCAATAAGACGCGATGTATAATATAGATTTTTAAAGAAATTAAATTTGTTTTCCGAACTTTGGTTTTGTTCTGTTTATTTTATCTTGATAAAAAATAATACAGACTGAACTACAGAATACATGTAAATTACAGTTTTACAATTTGAGCAATGAGTAGTACAATTAAATGGACAGTTGTATAATTTGTAAAATGGGCCCACTTTTAGGCGTACACAGGGCACCTCTCTATTATACTACATTTTTGGTGTGATAAACTATATAATAATAATAAATTATTAAAATCTGAAATTTCCCTTTGAAAATGTTGTGACTCTTCGCAAACAATACTCATGATTCGTTTGATATTTTTACTACAAATCATTTTCTTTTACAATTTACAACTTTGTTATTTAGATTTAATATTCAATTAATTAGTTTTATAATTATAGATGATTATTTTTTTTTTACAAAAATAATTTTTATATTATCATATTCGTAATTATGTATATCGAATATTTGTCGGTTGTACTTATCCCTTTTCCTGTGTTACAGAGATGAAAACACTCATTATGGTAATATTATGTACGATAGGAGAGTGGTACGTGGTCCGTCATATGTTCACCATCCTATACCAACCGTGAGTATGTTTTTATAGATATGTTTTTATTAGTTCACAGCAACTGTTTTTAATACACTATGTGTACATACACTGATTAATAATTAATTTATTAGTAACGTAAGGGCTGGCTTTATAAAATTTTCATTGATTGAAAATTTATTTATAAAGCGTAAAGAAAAATTTATTCGTAAATGCTGGAATGAAATAGGGAATTTATTGTGAAATATGCTTGAGGGCATATTTGCTAATTGAGAGATTGCTAATAATATAAAGTCATCTGTAAATTTAAAAAAACAAAAAAAAAATGATTTGTACGCGTAACCTATTTATTTACAAATTTGTTGACGTCTGCAGAGTCTTAATTAGTTTTCTTTCAATGTTTTTATATTGCATAGTCTACCACTTTTTTTTAAATTTTTTTTTTATTTATTTATAAATACAACAATCTGTCACTTGGACAATAATTATAGTGATATATGAACACATTCATACCATATATACAGAAAATATAAAATTAAAAAAAGTAAAATAATAAGAAAAACTATGTAAAATAAAAAATAAAGTAACCTAAAGATAAGTAAATTAAAAACACAGCCTACCTATTAAACGTATTATACGTATATATTTTGTTTTTTATTAATGAAAAAAAAGTAAAACCCGCTAGGTCATCAACCGCCTACTAACCATCATTTAAATTACGTCAATAATAAATTATAAATTTATAAACGACCTTACTTAAACTTCGTAATTGTTTAAAACAACTAATAAGTTGACATGAGTCCCTATTTTACTAGAAAAAGGTGCTCTTGTAATAAGTTGAGTGCCTGTGAGAATACTGTTGCAGTGTTTTAATTTTGGTGCAAGTGGTTTAATTATGAGATATGAATGCGTAAAGTTCGTATGTCCTATTCTCAGTCTAGTTAACTCAGCTTCCTCTTTACGAATAGGACAGTTGGAGCTGGAACGTGGTTTTACAGATTTCCCTCTGTTTTTTTCGGTTGACTCACATCCCACATGGATTGCCAACCAAGAGCTATTTCTTTTTTGAGGGGAAGGTTTTTGTCATGTGGTTATACGGCAGAGCCCCGGCCTGGGAGGGTAAATGCTTGCTTAGCTGCCGCGTCTGCAAACGTAATTTTCTAACAGCAGTTTTTAAGTTGTGTCTCTTTTTCCTGAATGCGCGATGTGTTAATTGTACTTTTATTAATCTAATTAGTATCGGGAATATCTCTTAAAAAGTATAAACCATCAGTTATGGGATGCCCAACACAATTAACTCGTTAATATAAGTATTATATTAAAAAAATGTTTTTATTTATTTTTAGTAGTGGAAATAAGATCATATAAGATTGGTAGCAATTTCATTGAGCAATATACTTTAGGAAAAAAAGGAATAAATGCCATTTATTTTTACAAAAAAACTTTGTGAATACGATCTAAAACGAACACCTTTTATATTATAACAAGTTCTAGTTTATTTTTATAGTGTTTTTTTTGTTATTAGGTTTTGGTTTTTTATATTCAGCACCTAGTTCCTTGAAGTTTTAGTAGTGGGAAAACAGTGAAATTTTATAATACCAGTCTTTGAATAAATATATAATATATCATAATGCTAAAATAGAATATATGAATAGTTCCTAGATGATATTTTATTTATTTTCGCTGCCTAAATGGACAGGATGAGGTGAGAAATTATTTTTTTGGATGTCGTACTTGCTTATTATTGATAATTAGGTGCATAGATGATTAGAAGTACTATAAATTATTATATTGGGTTGTTGTTATTTGTAAGTAATAGTAGATTGTAGACTATATTCTCTCCCTGAATCATTCATTTTAGTGGATTTTGAATATTTTAAACAAATATTTATAACAAATCTAATAGAAATTAAAAATTGAAGTACAAAAATTGTTGCTACATTTATTTTCATTCTCGACTATCGAAGGCAGGTAAGCATTGTCTTCATTGTTGATAAGAATTTTTTTCTCTCTAAATCGAATATTTACAAATTTTTTTTATGAATTAAAATCAAGGACCGAATTTAGTTTCGTACAAAACAAAATATTGTACCATTGCTCGAGAGTTTGTGGTAGGTATCTAGCCTTCCTGATTAAAGTATGTACAATGTTTAATAGATAGTTTCCTCTCTGGAACTGATAAAAATATAATATATCGAATAGATATTCCGCTCAGAAAAGTGGGCAGTCAGAAATATAGAAATATGTATATTGGAAAGTTGAGCGAAACAGAAAAATTTGTGCACAATAATTCAAATTTCGTTCATATTAATAGTTTCGTTGTATAGCACGGTTGCAGTTTGTAAACGGAAGTCTGGTTATTAATTAATTAATTATGATTCTGGTATAACCTAATGATCGATCCAAATGCCGAAGAACTCTGAAATTGTAATAAAATTTACGTTTTAAGTGAAAATCTTAAAATAAATTATAAATCAGCATCCGCGTATACCTAAAGAATTAATGTCGAAGAAATCTGTGGAAACAATGAAACGTTACAATTTTAAAGGATTACGTGAACTTTTATTCATTTTGGTATAAAGTTATTAAACTGATTTTGGATAGTATTACGTCCTAGTTTTCCAGGGAGTTTAGAACTTTAAAAATTAAAATTCTCAACAAGGATTATGACTGCCCGCTTTTCTAAGCGGAATATCTATTCCATATATTATATTTTTATCAGTTCAAGCTAGAAAACGATCTATTAAACATTGTAGATACTTTGTATTGGATTTAACATATATATTTGAAATGATGTAGAACAGCAGCGCCATCCATAGGCGGAAGGTTGAAAAAACGAATGACTGTAGATTCTGGTGAATCTTCCCTGGCCATTCAACAAGCCCTGATCTGCACTCTTTTCTTAAATCTCTTTTACCCATAATATACCCAAAATGAGCAGATAGACACCCCCTATAGGAGAAGTGGTTAAGGAGATCCTGGAAATATGTTGGCAGACGGTGGAAGGGAAGGATGAGAGATAAGCGGCAAGGAAGATACACAAGATGAAGCAATCAGCAAAATTTATCAAACCACATTCACCAATCAGCAAATCTTAAGTACATCCAATCATTAAAAACTAACAGATTAACCACAATGTACATGTTGGTACGCCCATCAATAACTCTATATTTTATATCAATTTTATTCACATGAACACCCCTTCTGATTAATTTTAGCATACAGATTTGACTCTCCCTACTTTAGGATTATGTAAGGCCTGATGTCCTAAACAGAATACATCCACACCATATTTACAGAAAAGTAAATAATTTAATATAACTATTATAATACGAAGAAATAAGAACAAAATTAGGCATAATACAATTATTATTAAGGAACGGAGTAGTTCAGTAAGTTAAGTAATGGGCTCATAAGCTCAAGGTCCCGGGTTCGAACCCAGCTGATGTCAAGTAATTTTTCATCAGCCGTGGATCGTCGGAAGACCCTCCTGCGGCACACCTAGCCATATAAAGTGGATACTCTTAATTAATTAAGGGGAAAACCTGGCGGTTGAGCGTGATACTGGCCCAATCATCCCCACTCTCCCCCTCCTACACAATCATTGGCCTTGAAACAATACTTCCTAACAAAGTACTGAATCAAACCCCTTCATGGGTACAGGTTATGGTAGTATAGTACCGAATACAGAAGTAAAGAATCTCAATTTTGATCCATTGTACTACAATTATTTATATTATGCAGAGATAATAGAATAATTAATGTATTTTAATTGTTAAGAATGTATCTTTGTTTATTGCATATTGGATGTAAAATGTTTTTATAATTTTATAATTTAGTTGAAAATATCTCTTCTTTAATTTGACTGTTAAATATCTATAGTACCTGTTGATCTGAAATTGAATGACAAAATTCTTCCTATCTCTCTTATATTAACTATTTGCTCCGTTGTCCCTATGTTCAAATCCAAAGTGTTCAAAATTAACTTTAAATACGAGATAAGTTCATACATCTAGGTTAGATTAGGCCAGAAAACGATAGAGATTTAATCCACACAATTAGATAAGCAACAATCTTTCTAAGTTCTAAATATAAGGATCTATTTATTAACTATCGCTAGAATTGATTTTGCGTTATCTAGAAAACGTTATAGTTCTCCGTCTAAATCTATAAAAACACATTTTTTCACGTCTCGATTCACCGATTTACTATGACGGGATTGTAATACAATGAAAATTGAGATTCGTTATTCTATACTACATACGTTATTCTATAATATATTCGATACTATATTACAATAACCTGTACCATTAAAACCCATGAAGGATTTTTGGTTTAGTACTTTGTTAGGAAGTATTGTTTCGAGGCTAATAATTATGTAGGGGAATGATTGGGCCAGGATCACGCTCAACCGCTAGGTTATGCCCTTAATTAATTATTTAATTAAGAGTACCCAGTTTATAGAGGCTAGGTGTGCCGCAGGAAGGTCTGGGGGGGGACTCTCGTTGATTAAAAATCACCTGTCAATTCAAGAACTTATGAGCAAGCGGTTCCACCATCTTCCAATAAATAGCAGCACTGTAGGATAAATTTTCCAAAAAAAAGTTCCAAAGTCTTTATTTTAACATACAACACTATTTTATTTCAACAAGGTTCTTCAATCACTTTTAACTTATTTTGACCAGCTGGTGGAAGGTACTCAGCTGGTTACCCAGGCCTCCCTCAACTATAATATCAATCTTTGTAATAATTAGAATCAATATTATTTACAATATTGATTCCAATAAGACGATACACAATACAAATATACAAGTAAAAAAAAAATAACAAAACCATAAATCTTAACAGCTTGTGCTCCTCCTTCCATAAAAAATTAATTTGATATTTGGCGATGCTGAGAGGCGTTGAAGTCACCAAGGAAGAGCCGGTGGTGGGGGACAGCTTGTAGCCAGAGAGTATTATGCCGCTCATTGATATGTTTCTCGTCATCTCCTGTTTTCTATTATGGATTCTGATATTATACCTATTCATTAGATCCT